GAATAACACAATGTGAACTTGAATAGATTGCGAGGGGCTTTATATTCCTGATGAAATAGACTCAACTCTAGTTGCATTATCTGGAGCCTTTGCCTGAGATAAAGACATTATCTCCAAAAAGAGATGATACAGACAGCATGTACAATAATACAACACTTTCTGTCTTTCCCCCAACCTTCAGTCAATTCTGGATGGAGCCCAGCCCAGGCAGAAGAATACAGAAACTTGCTTTTATAAGCAGCACCCCCATTAAAGAACAAAGTACCACGGAGATTTGAAATGAACAGATTAAGCATGCCTGTCACTCATGCCGGCTGTGTGGTGGCTAATGCAGGCGGCTCTGCTCTATTTGAGCCAAGTCTCTTGAGAACAATTTTAAAAGTGTGACTTAAATGGAGTCACTGTAAATGAGTCTGCACAGGGCAGGCACTGAATATGTCATGTGAGAATCAGGCTGTTTGTGACAGAAAATAGATGACAACCCGAAGCCACAGGGAGCGTTGCATTCTTAAAAAGAAAACTACTCAGGATTCAAATAATTTAATATTATTATGAACATGACCTTAGAAGTGACAGCAACCCACTGCTAAAATCATAGATGTTTATAAAGCTGTGTCTTCACATGTGTTTAATGTGCATGTAATGCACACATGTACAAACACACACATATAAAAGAAAGCTGACAAAGTTGTTTGATACAAAGTGGGTTAGTAAACCTTTCAGTACTGGATTTTCAAGCAATCTTTATGTATGGAAAAATTGAACTTCAGAATGTATGTATGCCCTATTTACCTCTTGGATTGTAATTATCATAAAATCAAATGTTCAGATAGATCAAATGTCCTCTACCAGCACTAGCTTGACGTTTGTAACCATTTACAAGACATTTTTGCTCTTTTAAACCTTACTATACATTCCAATAATTGTAGCAATGTATAATTTCTGTGTTAATTAGAGGACTCAAGGAAAAATGATGTACAGGAATAGACAGCAGGCACTAAATCATAATAGGCACACATCAAAGACTACATCATATCCATTTAGTCTTACCTGTTGTCATTTATTTAACTAAAATTTTTAAAAAACATTTTGTAATCTCAATCTTTGTCAAAAGAGAAACTTGTAAGATATGAGGATGTTTAAATGATTTTGAGGTGATTTGCTAAAAATAATAGTCTTAGTATCAAATGAGATATTCTATTGAAACATAATTTAACATTCATTCACTCAATAAATCACTTAATAATTTCAGCACACTTAACCTAAACCCTTCATATATGCAGGAGTATTTTTAAATATATTACACATATTCCATAGCCTCAAATGCCAATGATTTTGACGACTTTCTAAATTCAAGCCTTAGACACAAATCACAGTGAGGTAGGTTGTGAAGTCTGTCACCCCTTTTATTGCTAGGCTTGACTCAAATGATCCATCCACTGAGTGGATATTGCCCTCCTATATCACAACACAACAGGCTTCTCTCCTAAAGATGTAGGATCAAAACTGATGATATTAATGATTGGATCAGAAAGAGGAAGTGAAGATTTTCCATCAATAGCTTACAGGAAGAAGCTGACCTATGCCAGAATCTCCAAATACTTATGAAGGACAATCTGTGAGAGAAAATGAAGTTTAGCTTTAAAGGACAGAGATCAGACATGGTGGCAGGTATCCAAACAAATGTACCCTTATGGCTTGAGTTGAAATATCAAAAATATAGTCCAGAAATATTTCATACACTAAAATCATCAATTCATGATGAATATTATACTTGACTATATTTTTTGTTAAAAGCAAACTCTCACAAAACCCTGTTACATTGCTGGTACAATTTCAAGAAGTCAGAAAAAGAAAATAATTTGAATATGTAGCCTTGGAGAAAGCTTGATGTACTGTTTTAAAACTATAAATTTGTAATATGATTTGGATAAGTGGCATATTTTACAAAATGTTGCAGGTTACCCTTTCCAAGGACTCTAGAAGTTATATTGTTTAATTAGAAGGCATTTTGATTCTATTATTATCCATTCTGGCCTGGATTCAGAAAAAATACCACTATACATTTTAGTAAGCATTCACATCCATTAGCCTTGACCTGCTCTATCAGACTTCTTTAATTTATTAATTGATCAAATATGTGTTCCACATCTTCAGAGTTTTATATTTTCAGAAAAACAGGAATTAATATAAGGTTCTATACTATGGTATTTGTTTTAGCATTTGATAATCTCTAGGCTCAATCTCTATTATAGAAAATATAGAAAAAAGGAAAATAAGTATGCTCTATAACTAAAACTAGTTTTTAACCAGATACCACTTTTAGCATTATTTATAGACAGCTAAAAATGATTTACATATCATCACTGATGATGAACTTTGCATGAATGGCAGTGAAGTTGGTGGAAAGAACTGAGACTCCACAGTAGAAACCATCATATCAGCAATGCACCTCATGGGTTCAGCATCTCTTTCATGATATATAACACTTCTGGATTCAATTTTGTTTTTTAAAAAAGTATGACTTTATACCATTTCTAAGGACACAGATTCAGTTTCTAGCACTCAAATGGTGGTTTACAACCATAAGTAACTCCAGTTTCAGGGGATCTGGTGTTTTATTATGACCTCCTCAGACATCAGACATGCCCTTGGCACACACACATATTCAACCAAGGAAATATTCATAAGCATAAAATAAAAATGAATATTTTTAATATTATAGATAATATTTCTATCCCATTGGATTCTTGCAACTATTATAAACAACACAACAAATGACTTCCTTGTTTATGTCACATAATAGGTGTTCAAGTCATGGTGCATTGAAGAAAGAATTAGTAAAAGTTGATGTCTGCCTACATTGCACGCATTTTGAGTTATGTTCCAGGCTGGAAACCCCCAAGTACTGATTGAGATAAAGCTGTGTTCCATATATATTATCATCTAAGTCCATATTTGAAATATTAGTGCATATTAACATAGCTGGATGACCATATAAAAAGGAATGAATTTCAAGGAAAGATAGCCTTTCCTTAATCTTAAAGATGGATGGCACACAATATTTGATAACTGGCAACAGACATGTATGCAGATGTCTTGACTCACAGTGCTTTTGTTAACATTTTATTGCACATGCTCCTATATCATTTGGGATTAAAAATCATTGTAAAGTATCAGTATTTCTGTGAGGCAGGCAGAACTGCTGTACATTTCTGATAAGCTAGAGCATGTACTATGCTGCTTTTGTAATGATTAGGCATCCTGCTAAAATAGCCAAAAAGGTGGGGCTTGAGCCAGCAATAGCCAGCAGATTCCAGAGCCTTTCAGAAAGCACCAACTTAGCAATGAGCACTGAGGCAGACCTTTCCCCAGGATGGGGTAGAGAGTATATAAGGCTTACCGTTTCCTAAAAATATATGAACTTGCTTGCAACCTCCCGGAGTGTGTGTCATTTTCTCCACGTCTCCTCACCCTCTGCCCCCAGTGTCTAGAGACCTCATCAGGCAAACAGCAACATTTTTCTGTAGCAAATTTCTTCCACACCAACAGAGATTTCTTTAAAAATATGTTTATTTTTCTCTTAGAATTTCAAATAATGTGAGTTAGAAACGTTCTTAGAAGCAAATGCAAATGTTTCTTAATCAGACCAAGGCTGTATCTATCATGTACACAACAGATGCAGTCTAGATCAAGGTTTGTTTGATGTGATTGGTCAGGGTTCACAAAGAGTCAGACAACTTATTACTTAAAGAATAGCAGCACAAATCACACAGCCCAGTCCTTCATCCACACATCAGAAAGCACAACCTGAAGCATGGCGGATAACCTCAGAGTGAGATATGAAGATCCTGCATGACACTGTTGAGAAGTAAGGTTTAAACTCTAGCTAAATTGCTACATTTTCTAAAGCTTTATTGTAAAAGAATAGATCTATGGACTCTAAACACTATAAAAAAGCAACCCACTAGCTCTATATGGAAACTAGATTGGCCAGATGGTATGATAAGGTCTTGAAACGTCTTCTCACATATTTCTAATCCTCTCCATGTATGAGAAGATTGCAATGAAGTCTTCAATACTCAGATCAGTTGAGTGTCATACGGGTTCATGTGTGCCAGGAGAACAGTAGAACTTTGTCCACGAAGGGAATAGATTAACAAAGAAGAATCAGAAAAAGCATCAAAACATGTCCAACAGAGAAAATTAGCAAACATTCTAACTAATATGGAAGGAGAAAAATAAATACCAAATTCCCAGTAAATTATCCAACAAATTGTTAGGAAAGAGCAAACATCTGTCCATAAGAATCATAAATGTAAATGATCTCAATTCTCCAACAGTAAGATGGACTGAATGTACTAAAAAATAAAAAAAAAAGCACTATCTGTAATCTCGAGAAACACACATGGGAGCAAATGCACCTCCCAAAAATTAGTATCAAAGGATGGAAATCAGACTACCAAACAATGTATTTAAAAAATAATATTCATACCTGTTCTTATAATTGATAAAATAGACTTTAAAACAAGACTAGTTAGAGAGATGAGGAGCTGTAGTATATATTATTAAAGGAATAATCCCTCAAAGAAATATAAAATTATAAATATTCATCCACCAGTTATTAGAGTTCACAATCACATTAAACTATATATAAAAGGCAATGAAGGTAATGCTGACCTTGACACAATAATAGTGGAAGATTTGATAAACCACTATAATATTTAAATATGTTTTCCACACTAAAAGTAAGCAAGAAAACACTGGAGTTACTGGAATTAGCAGAGATATACAGAGTATTCCACCCAAAAGATAAGAGAATATACATTCAAAGTGACAAGTGAAATCTTCTCCAAAACTGACAAGATACTAAAGCAACTAATGAATATCATTACAAATTATGAGATAATTCTTTGTATCCTATTACACTATAGTGTCATAAAAATAAAAATCAACAAAGGAACTGGTAAAAACTGCAAAAATGCCTGGTAACACTTTTTTTACATAAGGAATGTTTTGCATTTTTATGTGTCATCTTTTCACAGTGGTCATGCCAAAATTCTCTATGTTGTTCACATTTAATAGATATCCCAGGGAAGGGACTACTGAATAGTAAACTTTTGAATTAACAGTGGGTCACTAAAGAAATCAGAGATGGAATAGAAATTGAAGCATTCCTAGATTCAAATGCAAATGAGAATACAACGTGGCAGACTCTGGGGCACAGCCAAAGGAATTCTGAGAGGAAACATTATAACTGTAGAGATCATATTAAAGACTAAACCGACTTCATATAAGCAACTTAATGGTGAATTTCATGCCTCTAGACAAACTATAAACACTATAGTTAGCAAGAAATAATAAAAATTATGAGAGAAGTGATGAAATAGTGATAGAAGAATACTATACAAATAAATAAACAAGGACCTGGTTCTTTGAAAACCTTAAGAAGATTTGCAAATGTTTAGCCAAACTGACAAAAAGAAAAATGAAATGAACATGATCCAAGTTAACAAAATTAAAGATAAAAAGTTGCCCTTCAAATTGTAACATAGCACTATATAGAGTCCTATATCTTGCAGGCAACTGGAAGTTGACTGAGACACTAGGTGATATCCTGAACATAGGAGACCTCAAAGCCAGCTCCCACAGTGACACACTTCCTCCAACAAGGCCATATGCACTCCAACAAAGCAATATCTCCTAATAGTGCCAATCCCTATGATATTATGGGAGTCAATTACATTCAAACCACCATATTGCTCTTATAGAAGAAATGAGTTAGTTTTAAGTACCCATGTCAGGTGGTTCATAAGCACCTATAACTCCAGCTCCAAAGCACCCAGTCATTCTTGTTGCCTTCACAGGCACCTGCACACATGTGGCAGGTACTAATAAAAATATAGACAAGTAAATATAAATAAAAATTAAGATAAAAAACTGAAAATAAGTGCTTGTGAGGATGTGGTATTGTGGTGCTGGTGCAAACTAGTATAGGCATTTGGCAAATCAGTATATATACTGATATGATATCATTATACATGCATATAAACATACACTTACATATCTGATATGCTTTTGTGTATGTATATTGATTCAAATGTATATCTCCTAGAATGTACCCAAACAATTTCTTGTCATACCATAGAAATATTTTCAAATCCATGTTTATTGATGATCTATTCATGAAGCAAGGAAATAGAACCAGTCTAGATGTCCATCAAGTGAATAGATAATGAAAATGTGGTACATATAGACAATGAAGTTTTGTTCATAAGTAAGGAAAACGAAATTATGAAATTTGCAGGAAAGTATGAATCTCAATAGCATAACATTCAGCAAGGTGACTTACCCCACAAAAGAGAAAAATAATGTTGTCTTTCATAGGCAGAGACTATCTAATAATGCCTACTAAACATACATACACACACATTATGAGTATATATGCTTGTATGTGTGTATGTATGCTTGTGTAAATAATACTTAAAAAAAAAAACTAGAAAAGAGGCCAAGAGAGGTGATAAGAAAAGACAGGGGTGCAGACAACAGGAAATACATGACATGAACATGAAAAGAGACAGGAGTGGATGTAGGTCATAAAGTAGGATCAGGAGACCAAAGATTTAGGAGAAATAACAAGTAAGGAGAATCTACTAAAATATGTTTTGTAAACCCAAATGATATGTAACACCTTCTTCTGGTTTAAAAATATTCAAAATTAGAAACACAAACAATCATAAGGAGTTTCTCCAAGGTCATCTCAGCTGTGCTTTGAGTCTATGAAATGTGGTTTATACAAACGTATCAGTTTGCAGAGCTCCACAACAGGGTCATACCCATCGGATCACACTCATATTGATCATTTTCTGTAAGACATGTATCATTTTACAGAAAATACTTTACACTAACTATTAAATTCAAGTTAAAAAATCACAATGTCGTTGAGGTTTCTGATTCCTATTTGATTATCTCTGGTCAGGAATGAAAGCTCAAAAATATTTAGAGAGTACAAATGCACTTTTTAGTATTTAAAATTCATAAAACTCTGGACTCAATTGGTAAAATGCTTGCAGTTCAGTCATGAGGAACTGAGTTCATATCTCTCACACTCCTATAATTCTACAACCCAGCATTTTTGAGAGTGAGGAAGGAAGAAATAGGTGATTACTAGAAATTCCCTCGCTAGCCAGTGTAGTCAAGGGGTGATTTCTAGGTTCAGTTTGAGTCTCCATCTTTAAAAAATAAGGTGGGGAGTGACTAAGGAAGTCACTTGATACAAACCTTGGTCTTCTACAGGAATCATTATTCTCCAGTGACAAAGTTAGGTTGTAGCTAGAATTTTCCTGCCTGGCCCATAGTCAGGACAAATCTCTGACACCCGCCAGTCCCACAGCCGCTCAGACCCAACCAAGTAAACACAGAGACATATTGCTTACAAACTGTATGGCCATGGCAGGCTTCTTGCTAACTGTTTTTACAGCTTAAACTAATCCATTTCTACAAATCTATACCTTGCCACATGGCTTGTGGCTTACCGGCATCTTCACATGCTGTTTCTCATCATGGTGGCTGGCAGTGTCTCTCTCCTCAGCCTTCCACTTCCCAGCTTTATTTTCCTTCTTGTCCTGCCTATACTTCCTGCCTGGCCACTGGCCAATCAGTGATTTATTTATTGACCAATCAGCAACACACTTGACATACAGACCATCCCATAGCACTACCCCTTTTCTTTTTTTTTTTCAAAAAGGAAGGTTTTAACCTTAACAAAGTAAAATTACATATAATTTGGGAATTTGGGTGTAGCTTCTCTTACTAATTCCTGCTGGTGGGGGGCGCTGAATCTTATGGGGACACAAAGAAAATTTTAGGATTATGGAATAGTCCATGAGGGTGTATTGTCTGAGCCAGTTACCTTCAAACCGTTCTGGATGTTGGATCATCTGGACCTTGGTGTCATTGAAGACCTCAGGGGGTCTTGGTTGGTCAAACCTGATGTATCTTAATCTGGAACAAATCCATAGCCTTTGGCTTTCTGTGGGAACAAAAGCAGAGTCTCCTTTCCAAAGCAACACATCCTTACATCCAAATTTTGAAGTTAAGGTATCGTTAAAATATACATATTGGTTTAACTCAACATCTTTTATGATCAAATGTTTTTCTGCAGTTAAAAATCCCAAAGACAACACAATCCAGATTCTCTGTGTAATATTCATCTTTACATGGCTTATTTTTATATTAATTTTATTGTCTCTTTAAAGACTTTATTTTTTAAAACCATGTATTTGTTTGTATAACTGTATATATCACCTTTTTTGTCTCTTTCAAGCCTACGTATATTTTACACACATTGTTTTTTGTCTCTTTCAAGCCTATGCATATTTTACACACATTGTAAAGTATTACATCTGAATCTGTCTTATTGTGAATCTATTGCTTTAAACTGCAGCAGCTGTGGCTTCTGGCTCCGCCTACCTCAGCTTCCCAACATAGCAGTGGTAGTTTACCGCCAGCTCTGGGAGCTATCATGGGTCTATGCTTTTATCCAAGCAGTGTGTAGGCCAGAAACCTTTTTTGTTGTTGTTGTTTTATACTAGCAAAGCTAAATCTACCACGAAGCTTAATGTGCCACTTGCAGAGGCCTCATTCCCGCCATACTGCGGGTCGAGCGAGCACGCTAAGAACCCACAAGTAGCTCAAACCAGCAGCTGCCGCTCATTTGAGAGAGACAATTAGGAAGCTGTTTTTAGCTCTGTTTTAGAATCTTTTTTCTCAGTTTTTAGGTGGAAACTCTTGCCACCACGTTGGGCGCCATTAGGTCATCCATTTCATACAGTCAACACTGACACACACACACACACACACACACACACACACACACACACACACACACCAACATACATACACACATATGAATATTTTTTTAAATAAATATATGAGTTCTATATTTTAAAAGTTAATTATGGGCTGGAGAGATGGCTCAGTGTTTAAGAGCGCTGGCTGTTCTTCCAGAGGTCTTGAGTTCAATTCCCAGCAACCACATGGTGGCTCACAACCATCTGTAATGAGATCTGGAGCCCTCTTCTGGCTATGTAGAAAAAGCACTGTACACATAATAAATAAATAAATAAATAAATAAATAAGCATATAAATAAATATTTTAAATAAATAAATAAAAGTTATTAAAACTCAATACATATTGTTAAATTTATCTGGCCACTACAGAGTTCTAGTTGATGTATTCACAAGTTTATACTGTAGACATTTGCATTTAAATCACTGCCTCAAGTTCAGAGCATAATATTGGCCTATATAGAAGGAGAACAAGAGGTGAGATTTGCTACTTAGTTAAACGTTAGGAATATACCACATATGATTCAGTATATAATATTCTGCCATGGATCCATATCATAAATGCTGAGTAGAAAATATAGATCTATCTTACCAGCATCACGTTCTGCTCATTTTTTGAGGGGCACCCCAAAATTATTGAATATGGAGTGATGAAAATGGCCCAGAGGTTAAACTGCTGCTGCACAAGCTTAAAAACCTCGATTTGATTCCTGTGTTCTTTGGTGTATGGAGAGAACCAATTCCTGAAATGTACTCTGACCTCCAGGCAAGTGATTCTGACACTAGTGACACATCTCTCTCTCTCTCTCTCTCTCTCTCTCTCTCTCTCTCTCTCTCTCTCTCTCTCTCATATACACACAAAAAATAATAAATAAATGAAAATTGTTTAATACCGTTAATCTTTGTACTGTTTGATCATAGGTGTATTGTTAGGAGTGTGCATATGAGAACGCACATTTGTACATGTGCATGGCAAAGACCGTGGATAACATCAGGTGTTTTCCTCCATCAAGTTCCACTTTATTTAGTAAGGCAGTTTCTCCTGCTAAAAGCAGGTCTTTCAGATTTGCTTAGTCCAGCTAGCTAAATTGCCCCTCAGAGCCCTCATCCCCAATTCTTAAAGTGTTAGGCTTGCAGAAGGCTGCCATGTCCACCTGGCCTTTTATGTGCATACTGTGGATCTTAACTCCCGTGGTTACACTTGAGGCACATACTACACCCACAGCATCAACACACAAGCCTTAATTTTTGTA